CATGTAAACGAGCGGTTTCGGCTAATCCTATATTTATTCTCAACGACTCATATGTTGAAATTAAAAAAAAACAGTAAACTACATACGTAACGTTAGTGTTTATGTTCTGCCTCAATGCAATGAACTCCGTATTCTTCTTCTCATATAACTGCAGCATGCGTGAATGTTAATTTACTATTTACTACTATAATGGACCCAATTTTATTTTAATCAATTTTATCGATTTTCAGTACTCAAAGTACACCCGTTGTTCCTCAGAGGCAACTGTCTACGGGATCTACATCGCAGCCTCAGCAAACCATAAGTAATCCATCACACCCACAGTTTGTCATTGTAAAGTCAGGCATTAACATTCAACAACAAGTCAAGCCAAATATTGTTGTTATGAAACCGCCCAGTTCCAATATTACACAAGTAAATATACTCATATGAAATATTTTCATGTTTTTTGTATTGATCGAAAAAAAACTCTTTTCAGGCACTGACACCCACCAATACACCGTACATTATTCAGGAGTCAGAAGAAATTGACGGCCTCTCCCATTTAGAGTAATAACTATTCTGAATCATTTTTTATGTATACATAATTTCACAAATTCAAAAATACATTTTTTGGTACAAGACAAAATCCGAATATATTTAAAGTAAACTTTAATCAATATTGTTGATATTTGAAAGGATGCATATTTGTTTTGACAATTGGACTTCATATATTTGCTATATATTTGCTCGCATCTAATGTTCATTTGCTACTACTTGGCGATATTATTTCACTGAATTTTTGCGCTGCAACCTTCTTTAACTGTTCGCTCTCCTGAGGACCAGTCGCATCAACCATTCCACGGAAAATGCTCTCTTCATTTTGTAACAAATTATGTGGAATATCGTACTCTTTGGCAATGCCCGCATCCATAACTAGGACACGGTCGGAATCCATAATGGTATGTAATCGATGCGCTACAGTTATAACGGTAAACTGTTTAAATTTTTCGCGAATTGTTTTCTGGATGAGCGCATCGGTTTGTGGGTCTACGTTGGCTGTGGCCTCGTCTAGCACCAATACTTTATTATTTCTTAAAATAGCTCGAGCCAAACATATCAATTGCCGTTGGCCTTGGCTGAAATTGGTTCCGCCTTCAGTTACCTGAATAAAATAATTTAAAAGTTGTTAAGAGAACTGTATTAGCTTAGCACTGAAGAAGAAAAACAAAACAAAACGTACAAAATAGTCCAAGCTTTCAATCATTGACTTCAATTCAACGTCCTCCAGTGATCGCCACATAGCATCATCGGTGTAATGACCAAACGGATCCAAATTGTAGCGGACTGTATGTGAAAATAAAACTGGATCCTGGGGAATTATAGAGATTTTCTCTCTCAAGCTGCTCAACGCAATTGTCCCAGTATTGATATTGTCTATTTCAATTATTCCATCAACATGGGCCAAACGAAATAGAGCTCCTATCAATGAGCTCTTGCCAGCACCGGTTCTACCTATAGGAAGATGTATATCCAAATTTTGCTTCTTTGTTTTTTTTATAGTGCATACAAACTCACCCACAACTCCAACTTTGAAACCAGATTCAATCTCCAAACGAAGGTTTTTCAATATTGGCGGTCCTTGTGGGTCATATCGCAAGGACATATTATGCATTTTTATTTTACCAGTTCTAGGCCAATCCGATGGTGGTTTTTCATCAGGACTTTGTTCCTATTTGAAAAAGATATTCAAAGTAGTTTTTTATGGTTATAGCACGTTTTTTAAATACCGGTTCTAGGTCTGTATACTGCAAAATTCGTTCGACGCTTGTCATCTGCTGCATAGTCTCTGTTGCTTGCCTAATTCCATATTGAACCATGCCGGTCAAAATTAGCGCCTGTGAAATGGCTAACCCAACATTTCCGCTGAATGTATCTTTGTGTAAATGAACAGAAGAGATACAATTAGAATTGAGCCAATCTATCTATAAAATAATAGTTGATTATATGAAAATACTTCTCACTTTCATAAAAAATAATAAAACTAAATGTAACGCTCGCAACAAATGCGGTGCTGATACAATCCATCCATAAGCCGCATGCTGTATTCGATGTCATTGCCTAATAAAGAATAATTAGAATTAGAAGATCAACCAGAAAATATAATAAAATAAACACCAACCAACTGCCAGACTGCGCTGTGGACGTCTTGCAAATGGTCGAATTCATTGGCTAACTTATTCTGAATATTTCTTGCTCGTATTGTCGCCAAACCGTTGATAGTCGCCGTCAAGTGCGAGAAAACCGGACTACGACCTGAATATTTTTTTTTCAAACCAATTTAGAAGTGAACTTCATTACACAATACACATTCATTGAACACAATAAAACAAAACCTACAAATTCCTTCTAAACGCTTCAAGTCTTGGGACGGTCGTAGGTACAGCTTGATAATTAGAGCGAACAAAACTATGGCACATGATAAAGCGAAAATCATTGGCGGATTCACTATCACGATCACTGCTAGTATGCCGAGCATAACTAATATTATTTGGATGGCTTCCATCATCACTCTTGGCATTATCTTTAAGATATTTAGTTGAAATTTTATTCAATGTTACTTTAGGATATGTTAAATTCGAATTACTTCATCGATAGCACCCATATCTTTTGAGAAACGATTTAAAATCCGACCAGATGGATTTAAATCGAAGAATCGCATTGGCGCATGCAAAATGCTGTAGAACATTTGATCATGTAATCTCTTCGAAGCACGCGAAGTTGTTCTGAAGAACAATATACTGCGATAAATGCAAATCTGTATTAAATGAAAAAAAAGAAGAATTCATTAGTAGTAGATGTGATGATAGACACTTCTGAGTGTAATGTAAGTATATTGGGCTAACCAGTAAAGGTCCCTCATTTTCAATAATTTTTTTACAAATGATCATATGCGTTCGATAGGGCATCCCTCAAAACCTCCGAAACAATATTTCTTTTCGTTGCGATTTTCCCGGGGGTGGTTTTAGAGGTTCTCAAAGTTGGCAACCCCAATTTTTTCCGGAGGCCATAACTTCTACGACTGGACATTTCTGGGAAGTGTCTTTGGAAAAGTTGTAGATCTTGTCAAGATACACAATTTTGCCGAACAAATCA